AAACGATATGCATTATGAGGATGAGTGGACAAAATGCGAATGATAGTTGAGATGCGTTGCTTTCGGAAGGCTTCGGTGGCGGCGGAATAGTATCATTTGCAGATCTAGTGAACACCTCGGATTTACACACCACATCGCATTCACTGCATTCACTGCAGTTTCTTTCATACATATATCCTGAAAGCAATGAGAATTTCGTTGATGCAATTTGTCTTTCATAACGCTTCGACCACTTCTCAACAATATCAAAACAATCGTGCTCGTCGTCTCCGTGTGAATACTTCTAAAATTTCGATTCTCATCAATGCTGTTCGCATTCAACTCCTCCTCACATCGTCATATTCGCAGTGTTGCAAATTTTCAGACGACATGCCCATACAACTGAATCAGAAAGTGTAAAATTTGCGCGAAATGTGATTCGAGAAACCAGAAATAACTATGCTTCCAGTTTTTTGCGTTTTTCTCACTTGATATTCAACCGAAATTTCGACCAAATATGACTCCTTCTGTAAAGTGCTCTAAAAGTAACCTCGGATACAGACAAACAAACACATATCAGTTTCATTATCTTCTCTTTCAGCGATCAAATTGAACTGACATTCTCGGTGATTGTAGTGTGCCTTCTTGGGATGATTTTCTGAAGAAAAAAATCAAAATTTTTTGTGTGGCACAAAGTTCACATTCGATAATAACGTTCAACTGATCACAATCAATTTGTACTTTTCTGCTAATTTGATCACCAAAGTCTAATGTTTGACTATTGTCCAATAATGTTTGAACAAAAGGCGGCGGTGTTCACTGAAAATTTTTTATGAATTCTATAAAAAAATATGTGTTGAATAAATTTGGAACCTGATATAAATTTGACGTCATGACCCGAGAGAAAACCAAGATGTGGATATGCTTGTTCCTTGCACATATCACGGTATCTCGCATAGTTCTGAATTTGCAATGTCCATCAAATTAGCTACTCTCAAAATTTTCGTCGGATGTCCAATCAGTTTGCCACTGTAGGGTTGTGATTACATGCACAGCAACAATAACAACAACAACGATAATCTCATCTAACTCTAA